ATGCGAAGAGCACTTAAAGGATGGGAAAAGGGTATCTCAATAAATGGTCATAAACTAAACAACCTACGTTTAGCAGATGACACAGCCCTTCTTGCAAATAGTCAAGCAGAGCTGATGGAACTTATACGACTGATAGAAAACGAAAGTCAAATATTTGGTCTGCAATTAAACATATCAAAGACAAAGATCATGATAGTGGATAGACTACACAACAATCATCCACACATAACCACAATTGACCGGTTCGAGGTTGTGAGCTTATACTTATATCTGGGATCATTAATCACAAACACAGGGTCATTACAAGAAGAGATTAAACGTAGATGTGATCTAGCAAAAGTTGTCACAGCAAAAATGACCAAAATATGGAAGGACTGTCAAATTTCAAAAGCAATAAAGATGAGGTTGATCAACTGCTTAATATTCCCAATACTGACCTGCGGATGTGGACTCTGAGACAATCGGAGAAAAGAAAGATAGACACCACTGAAATGTTCTGTTGGAGACGAACGTTACGAATTCCTTGAACCGACGACCGTAGAACAAATAATTCAATTTTAAGAGAGCTAAAAGTTAGCCAACGACTCTCTAGTAAAGTCCATCTCCAACAATTAAAATATTTTGGGCATGTTATGAGAGCAAACACAAAAAACATGGAAAGACTCATAATACAAGGAAAGGTAGAAGGCCGAAGATCACGAGGAAGATTCCCAACAAGATGGATAGATCAAATTACAGGAATATGCCAAAGACCTATGCATGAATTAAAAGAAATGACCAGAGACAGAGATCTCTGGAGACGGACAATACACGACATCACGTCGACCACTACACTCCCCCTGGGGGGTCAGGATTGAAGAGAGAGAGAGAGAGATTAATTGGTGTATATATTTAAATTTGATTTTCCTCTTTTTGTAGAATGTGTTAATAATGTGTATAGATATTAAGTTCAAATATATGATACCCATATATTAATTAATGATTTTTGTAGATGTTAATTTTGCAGACGCTTTCCTTAAAACATTTGACTTCGTATTTTTTATATCTTCTTCTTTGTTTTGCTTGTTTTCCAAGCGTTGGCTACAGTCGTATTAACAAGCTGATGAAATGTTTCTCGGTTGGTAGCTAGATGAAACAATTCCTCGACCGTTCGACCTGTCCATTGTCTGATGTTAGGCAGCCAGGACAGTTGCTTTCTTCCAAACCACCGTTTTCTTTCGCTGAATGAGCATTTTACCCTGAATGATCAACTGGATTAAGTTTATTCGATATTTAGGCTCTCTTATTATAAGACCGAAGTATTTCACCTTTCTCACTTTTATTTGATAATGTAAATTGATTCTAACTCTTTGTACATGGTCTCTAGCACACGTTCGTTAGATATCTGTGCTGTCCACGGGATTCTGAGCATGCGACGGTAACACCACAACTTGACTTTATTTATTAGGTTCTTATTTATTAATTATGTACATTTTTATACCTAGATATAGAAAAAAACGAAATGTGTTATATGTTTAATATATTTTATTATTGTTTTGAAATAGGTTTACAATTTTAGATATAACTACAGTACATTTAATTTAATAATACATATTTTTGGTACATATCAAAGTATATTAATACAACTATAAATTTAAAAAAATAAAATCAATGTAATGATTTTTAATAGCGCTTTAGGTATATATCACATATAATACAATTAGAATATAGCAATGTAGTTTTAAAGTACGTTGAATTAAGAAATATTTAGAATTACAAATAATGGATTGGGTTTTAAGAATAATTTTTGTCACTTTTACACGAAAGAAAATAAAAATTGAAGGGCAAGCTAAAAGTGAAACGATGCTGTTAAAATAAATTAACGCCAGTTGATACGCTTATATGGAATTACGATTTTCTTATTAACAGCCCTAAATAGTTTTGTTTTCAATGTTTAGAAACATCTCGAAAGTATTAGCAGTGTGATCAAAAATCGAAAATTAACTTGAGGGAAGTACAGGGAAAGTGACAAAAACCAAGAATTAGTGTTTTAAAAAAAAGAGAAATCAAACGATTTGTACCTGGCGAAATCGAGTTCAAATTTTGACCACCGTACTGTCTAAAACTTGCAAAGCAAACAGCTTGATAAATAAGTCGACAAGGGAATCTAAGATTACATTCCACATGTCGTTTATCATGGTCAAAATTCGTTGTGAATTCAATTTCTAGTACTCTAGAAGTCGAAATCTATCGTTTCTTTTATCGTTTCTTTTCCGGAAAAGAAACGATAGAGGAGAAATGGTTCTCAATTTCATGAATGAACATAACATGTACTCAATGAACTCCTTTTTCAATAAAAAACCAAGCAGAAAATGAACATGAATGAGTCCCTATAAAAAGACAAAGAATGAAATAGATAATATCTTAACGAAGAATAGAAACCTATTAGAAGACGTATCAGTATTAAATCAGTTAGACCTAGGAAGCGATCATAGACTAATAAGTCTATGATCTTATAGACTAATAAAACTAGAAAGAAAAAGAATACAAATGGACATCTGAAGAAATCAAAAATAGTGAATTTAATAAAAAGTTAGTGCATGCATTAAATCAAGTTAGCATGCAGCAGATAAACTCCAATGATATTGATGATTTGAATAACCTTATTACCGAAACAGTGAATAAAAGCCTTCTGCAACTGAAAAAACCAAAAACAACATACAATGAATTAGACAAAGAAATATTACAACAAATAGAAAGAAGGAAGATCTTAAATAAATCTAACAAAAGGAGAACCGACGAATATAGAGAACTTAATAGGCAGATTAGAAAAGGAATCAGACAACAAAAAAGAAAAGAAAACCAAAAATTAATAACAACAACTATTGAAAAAAATAAGAGTATGAAATGCCTCAGACCGACACTAGGACGACGTCAGATGATATCATTAATGGGAAAAGACGAAAATGAAATCACAAGTAGAGAAAACATACTGACACGAATAGAAGAATTTTACACAGAACTTTACAGATCACATCAACAAGATGATGAGATGAGACCAGCACGGAAATTAATAAAAAATGTTGGATCAGAAATAATGCCAAAAGTAACAATTTCAGAGGTAACTACAGCATTGGACAACATGAAGAGAAATAAAGCTGCAGGAGAAGATAGTATTACCACAGATATGATATGATATTAGAAGGAGGTAAGGAACTAATTGCAATTGTAACTAAACTTGTGAACAGTTGTTTACATCAGGGCAAAGTCCCTAAGAGCTGGAACAACTCTAAAGTAATCTTATTACACAAGAAAGGTGATAGTCGAAAATTGGAAAACTACAGACCCATCAGCCTACTGTCACACCTGTTTAAGATACTCACCAAAGTCATAACTACTCGACTAACAAGGAAATTAGACAAATACCAACCATATGAATAGGCAGGTTTTAGAAAAGGCTACTCAACTTCCGATCACCTGTTAACCACAAAAATATTAATAGAAAAATGTAACGAATACAAGTTTCCAGTTTTCCTAGCATTTGTAGACTACGAAAAAGCTTTCGATACCATAGGACATACGGCCCTAATAAACGCAATGCAAAATTGTAGAATAAACAGCAGATATATTAACTTAATAAAAGAAACTATGAACCAAGCTACATCAACATACTACCTAAATGAAAATGAACACACGAACCCTGTACCATTATACAGGGGAGTCAAACAGGGAGATACTTTATCACCCAAACTGTTCACCTTAGTTTTGGAGGACGTTTTTAAAAACCTAAATTGGAAATATAAGGGAATAAACATCAATGGCCGCTACCTCAGTAATCTACGATTTGCAGATGACATAATCCTGATAGCTACTGACCTACAAGAAATGCAAACCATGCTTTTAGAACTACATACCGAATCTTCTAAAATAGGTCTGAAAATGAATTTAAACAAAACAAAAGTCATGCACTCCGAAGACACCGTGACAATAATAAACGATAAAGTTATAGAAAAAGTTGAAGAATATATATACTTAGGACAAAAAATAATCCTAAATAGGGAAATTCAAACGGAAGAAATAAAAAGAAGAAGAAAGTTAGCTTGGGCAGCATTCGGTAAACTGAACTATATACTCAGAAATCAACAAATTCAATTACATCTTAGATCTAAAGTTTTTGATGCATGCATTATTCCGATATTAACTTATGCGGCACAAACATGGACAATCACAAAAAAGAATATGAATATACTTAGAGTCACTCAACACGCGATGGAAAGAGCAATGCTAGGTATAGCACTTAAGGACAAGAAAACAAACACATGGATAAGACAGAAAACCAAAGCCACCGATGTGGTGCAAAAATCATTAAAGTTGAAATGGAAAGACGCTGGACATACTTTAACCTGGAGAACATACCAACACAAAAGACCCAGAGGTAGGCCTCCTATGAGATGGACAGATGATCTGAAAAGGACTGCCGGGCTACAAAAAATTGGCTACAAGTAGCGTACAATAAAAAACAATGGAAAGGAAGACTTGAAGAGGCTTATGTTCAGATGTGGACGTGAATGGCTAGACGAAGAAGAAGAAGAAGTCGAAATACGTATAAGCGGTTGCCGCCGCTATGTATTGAAGCAAAAATCTAGTACCGTCTTTATATTTTATTTCTTTGACACGTGGAATGCAATCTTAGATTCCCTTGTCGACTGATTTATCACGCTGTTTGCTTTGTAAGTTTTAGAAAACACGGTAGTCAAAATTTAAATTCGATTTCGCCAGGTAGAAATCGTTTGATTTATCTTTTTGTTATTAGATGACATAGTTACGTCCATATATAGTGATTTTATAACTATTGTTTAAGACGGGGATAGATTTTGTTTCGATCCAGATAGCTGGCTATACCGCTCTGACGAGATCTAAAGAGGTCGAAATATGTATAAGCGTTTGCCGCCGCTCTGTATTGAAACAAAAATCTAGTACCGTCTTTATATATATATTATAAATTAGTGTTTAATATATTCTTCGGAAGCTGTTTTGATACAAAATATATAATTATATTATCCATGTGGAAAATTATATGTAGCAAAAAGCAGATAGAATAAAAATAATACTTTTTAAAGGTTTGGCTGTAGTAACTCGATGTTGTTTTTATAATACATTGAGATATTTTTTGACAACTAGGCACAGATGAAAAATTTTACGATGTAACAAAATACCTATCCAATTTCGACCTAAATATTTCTAATAAATATTGGATTAACTTTCAAATAAAATTTAAAACTAAATAATATCACAGTTAGCTTATTTATTAACACCATTCCTATGTTTTAAGCTGATTCGAGTTTGAGAGGTTGTGAATGATTCCGTATTACTCAGGTAAGCATCTCGTCGTCGAAGGTGCAGTTTCTTCAAGAAATCGTTATAAACGGATCGTTTGCAAATGAAGATGATAAAAATGTAGACACCTAAAAAATACACAAAACATTAAAGCCATTGGAATAATATATGTATTAATGTAGACCGACTAAAATAAATTGCATAAATTCATATCTGCACCTCAGAGCTAAACTGTATTAACTCCATTTTTTTGAAAAATTGTATTATTTCACTTTCTACATAACAGACTTTACATCTTTCATATGCAGTACGATATTAAATCCTATTTAATGTGGTTCCAAAGATAACCAACCATAAAGTGTATGAAGTCCCTCAGTAGTTCCGAGCTAAACAGTCGTTTAAACTTAATACCCAGCAATATAATTATTATTAGTAGTATTAGGTACAATATAATTATTATTAGTAGTAGTATATAAGACGAGCACAATATAAATCAAAAAAACCTGTCAACCTGTCAATAGGGACATACAACATTAGATCAATGTCCACAGATGAAAAAGTACATGAACTGGAAGAAGAATTAACAAACATAAAATGGTATATCATAGGCCAATCAGAAACTCGAGGAAAAGAAGAAAACCGAATACAGCTAAAATCTGGTAATCTACTATATTATAAAGGAAATGAAATGAATAGTAAATTTGGAGTAGGATTTATAATAAATAAAACTATAAGTAAGCACGTCCAAATTATCAAAGGTATATCAGATCGTGTCGCCTATGTCATACTTAAAATAAGAAGAACATCAATTAAAATTATCCAGGTATATGCCCCACGACAGCTTATGATGAAGAAAATATGGAATTATTTTATGAATATATATCAAAGGCTATGGAAGAACATAAAAATCATCTTACACTAGTAATTGGAGATTTCAATGCCAAACTGGGTAAAAAACTAAACAAAGAAGAAACTAAAATAGGAGATTTTGGGTATGGCCAGAGAAATGATAGAGGTGATACTTTGATAAACTACCTAGAAGAAAATCATCTATACGCAATGAACTCCTTTTACAAAAAGAAGCCCCAACGAAAGTGGACATGGATCAGCCCTAATGAATCCACAAAAAATGAGATCGACTACATACTGTCCACGGAACGATATATCATTAAAGATGTTACAGTTCTTAAAAGATTCACAACAGGTAGCGATCACAGGATAGTCAGAGCAAAAATTAGTATTGACGGTAACTATGAGATGAAAAGAAAAATAAGTAGAAACTGGAATCTAGTAGATAGAAACAAACTAGGTCAATATAAAGAGATATACAAAGACCTATTAAAAGAACAACTTACCCAAAGATTAGACAGTGACGATAAAGATATAGACGAAATAGACAACATACTTACAGCAACAATGATTACATCAGGAAAAGAAATAGCAAAGAAGGATCTAAAAAAGAACAACTATATATCAACAGAAACAAAGAAGCTTATGGATAAAAGAAGGAAGCTGAACGAAGAAGGCAAAAGGAAATCTATAGAATATGTAGAAATTAATAAAACAATAAGCAGAATGATAAAAAAAAATAAGAGAAAAGAACAAGAAATAAAAATAGAAGAAGTAATACAAAACAACAAAAATATGAAATGCTTAAGGCCGAAATTAGGTAAGTTTGAAATAAACAAAATAAAAGATGTAAATGGAATAGAAACAAACGTTAAAGATGACATCATAAATATAATCCACCATTTCTACTCAGAATTATATAAAACAAAAAAGGAACCACCAGAAGAAATTAAAAACCAACTTAAGGTCAAAATAAAAAATGTCAACTCAGAGCTGCAGCCCGAAATAAGCAAATCAGAAATAAAGAAGGCATTAGTAGTATTAGCGGAGATAATATCACATGCACATTTAAAAAGTATTAACTCCATGGAACGTTCGTAAAAAACAAGTGGCCGATGGTAACAAACGCCAAACCAAGAATATAGTTTTGCAATGGAAGCAACTTGGAGCTCCATGTAAAAAACCTGTAGCGTAAGGTGCACAAAAATTATAACTGAAGATCAAAGACGTTGCATACATTCTGAATTTTGGGATTCTAATAAAAACATCGACATGAAAAGACAATTTATAGCAGCAATGGTAGAATGAGTACCAGTGAGACGTATCCGGGAAACAACAGGAGCACGCTTTGGAATGAGGGAGTTTACCAGGCGTTATTCATTATATTTTAATCATGTAAGGTATAAAGTTGACCAATGATAACTTGACCAATGATAACAAGTCTTTGGTTTTGGCAGATCTTGGAAAAATGCGGAAAAATGCCTCCTTTCAACATATTTTTCTTTTAGAGGCAATTTCTACAAACAAATATCTGGAACACCAATGGGTTCTCCCCTTTCCCCTGTCATTGCTGACATTTTCATGGAAGCCTTTGAGTCTTTAGCCCTAGAATCTTACCCCTTAAAACCAAAAGTCTGGTTCCGCTACGTTGATGATACATTTATCATCTGGCCCCATGGTCAATATATCCTTTCTTCCTTCCTAGATCATCTTAACTCACAACATCCGAGTATAAAATTCACAATGGAAGTAGAAAATAATCGGTCCCTTCCCTTTCTCGATGTGTTAGTCACCTCCAAGCCCAATGGCCGATTGGGTCACTCTGTTTATAGAAAAAAGACTCAAACGAATCGTTACCTACATGCTTCATCACACCACCATCCTGCCCAAAAGTATTCTGTGATCAACTCTCTCATCCATCGGGCCATTTCGATTTCTGAACCTGACAACCTTAGAGAAGAACTTGGTCATCTGTAAAAAACCCTTGTCACCAACGGTTACTCCAAGTCCACAATTCAAAATATTACACACCGACATCTACATCCCCCTTTACACCCTAGGACGACAAATTCAGAATCTTCGGGTAATACTCCTGTGGCTTTTCTTCCGTATATTCGAAGTGTCACTGATAGGATTGGCAAAATTCTTCGCAAAGAAGGTATCAGGACTACTTTTCGACCACCCAAGAAAATCTCACAATATCTACCCTCTCCTAAGGACCCATTACCGCCCCTATCTTCCTGTGGTGTCTATTCTATTCCTTGTTCATGTGGACATGTGTATATTGGCGAAACTGGTCGTTCCGTCAAAACTCGGATTCAAGAGCATCAAAGATGCATTCGATCAGGTCTTTTCTCCCATTCGGCAGTTGCAGAACACTGCCAAGAAACCGGTCATTCCATATTGTTCGAAAAAACCCATATTATTTCTAAGAGCCCCTTCTTTTATTCCAGGAAAATCCGCGAATCTCTAGAGATCCGAAAAAATCCACATAATATCAATCGAGACGAAGGATACTACTTGTCTCCCATCTGGAATCTCAGTCTAGAGCCGCCGTCCGGTCTCGCTACCACGATGCAGCCACCTGATTGGCCAGCGCGCGCTTCTTGACGTTCGCGCCACGGAGTGTGCCGATACGTCCCGACACGACAGGTCACCGCGACTATAAATAGAGCGGTAGCGGAGTAATCGTCGGATTCACTCCCCGCCTCTCGACGCGTTTGTGTTCTGAGCTGTTGGACGTGAATCCCTGTCCTGGCATTTGGTTTTCACCTCTGGCTGCTTAAAGTAGTTGAGTTACTGTGACCAAATGCCCATCTTGGTAGTTAGTATTCGCCTCTGGTTGCGTTGAGTAACTGAATTACCGTTGCTAACTACCCATCTTCCTGTCTTTTGTTTTCTTTTTCTTTTTCTTTGTTCTCCTGAAGAAGCTACATACAATTGTAGCGAAACGTCGAGATGAACCCACTTTTGGGTCACTCACAAATGACACGGTCCAAACCCGGAAGATGAATAAACTATAATTCTGACTCTGGCCGTGGAAGCCTACGATTTCATAAGGTATAAAGTTTTTCAAAAAATTCTTTCTTTCTACCTTAAGTATATCCGAGACATTCGTTACAACAGCTCTTGCGAAGAAAAAGAAATGGGTAAACGTGAGCCTGTCAAATAAAATTCCCGAATTCATCAAACAAGGTATTCGGGATCATATTAGCAAATTCCCAACTATAGAACTGCATTATTCTAGAGATCGCTCTCAGAAAAAATATCTGGGTTGTAAATTAAATATTACCAGAATGATGAGATATACAGATCTGAGGTAATGAAAAGCAATACACCCGAAGAAAACATTGTTAAACTTTGGCTGTATTCTGAAATATTTAACACAGAATTTAATTTTTCATTTAAACTTCCAATCAATGACACGTGTGATGATTAATGTGACAGATTAAATTTGGCCAAATAGAAAGAAAAGAAAAGAAGGAAAATAAAATATTTAACAAGATTATCAACAACATCTTTTGGAGGCTAGTAACAGGTAAGAATTAAAAAGACTTAATAAGGAAAGAGCAGCAACAAGTGGTGAAACACTAAAATTATTGACACTAGATTTACAGAAATGTCTACCAACGCCTATTCTAAGTAACCAGCAGAGTTTTTATAAGCTCAAGTTATGGACATACAATTATAGGATTTCAGACACTTCAGGTAATATTACGTCTTACATGATGTGGGATGAATCAAAGTCTGGACGTGGAGCAAACGAAATGGCTTCGGGCTTTTTGAGGTGGACCGAAGCTATAAATGAAAATATAAGAGAGTGCGTGGGTCATGCTTTACTTGTAGATACTTCACAAGTATCCATGGATAAAAATTATAAATCACAAGTTTTTGTTACGTGGTCATACCCATTTCGAAGTGGACAGGGATCATTCTCTTATTGAAAGAGAAAGAAAGAAAACACCCTTTTTAAAAAATCATGACTCCCTGGGGCTGGCAGCAGCTAGCACGACTTTGTTGTCGTTCTAAAACATTCAGTGTAATTGATATGGAACTAAATGACTTTAAGGATTTTAAGACTCTTTACAACAACAACTATCATAATAAATCACCAGGAGTTGATCAAATTTGCAGTGAGCTCTACAAGAATGGTAGCGATGCCCTACTACAGACACTGTATAAGCTTTTACTTCTTGTTTGGCATAATGAGACCATGCCTTGTGAATGGTCTCAAATCAACAATTGACCAGATTCATTCAATAAGACAGATTCTCGAGAA